GGTGGTACAGCGGACTGCATAGGACCTGTGGATCGAGACAATCCCACAGTGTGCTGGTCCTAAACAATGAAATACATAAAGGGAAATACATAAAAGGATAGTATCACTGTATGCACTTATACATAGAAAAATCAGTATATTAAACATTCTCCTCCCCAAAAATTAGAATAATAAGAAAGGAAGGGAACAGAAAAGAGAAGGAACAATACCATAGGTCAGTCTCCAACCTGGTGCTCTCCATATGACTTGGAATTACTATTTACATAAATTCCAGTCAGTATCACATGGCATGAAGTTCCAAGTCTGATATCAGAGAAGAACTGAGTGAGTCACCAAGGAATTACAAAATCTGAACATTACTATGGAGAAGATTTTCTGCCACAAATGCCAATAAAATCTCTGATTATGTGATCACATGAAATAGGGTCTTTCCAAATGATTTGAATAGCTAAGTAAACCAGGTAGTAGAAAGTACTAATCCCAAATAATTTAAGGTTTAATGCAGAGTATTTTGAATTAAGCTTGGAAGCTGCTAGGAACTGGTAAAACTGCTGTAATAAAAAAAAGTCACATGCTGTGGAAAAACAACCCTAGCAAAACCTGTTGCTGCAACATTAAACATTTGTGAACATTTGCATTAACTATTCTGATAACAGTTTTGCAAAATACAAAATGTGCTGTCAAACTTTCTTATGGTGAATTTTTCAACCACCTTCTGTATTGATTAGAATAATTCACCTTAAGGCAAAGCATATTCTGTCGTGAATTTTAACCACATCAACGAATGTCTACTAGAGGGGGAGAAAGTTTGATGGCTTCACTTACACATAACATTGGAAAGTCAGTCATCACAAGTTGTCAGTTGTGTTGAGCACAATAACAGATAAAGGAGTTTAGAATAGGCAAAGAATAAAGGCCAAGGACATAAAAACATGGCCAGAATTACAGAAGGGCAGGAGAAGAGGGGTAAGAGGTAAATCTAAAATTAGCTATCAACAGCTTTGCAAATCGGAAATGTAGGCATCTGGAAATCTACTTAAAACTTGATTTGTTTTTCCTGCCTTGGATTTATGAAATGTAAATAGAGTAACCATGACTTTCTCAGTTATTTTCCCTCTCTCACACATATTTAATTAATAAAGAGTGTGTGTAGACAGGAATGGCACAGGGGCTGGATTAAAAACAGTGACAATCTCTTGCAAGCAAAGCTCAATCTTCCTTTGCAAGTTCTGGATGTCAATCCAGTAAGGTTCATATTTATTTGTGCAATCATTGTGAATGAGTTAGCTGATGCAGCAGCAAAACAGTATGACATGGTCTTTCTTCCTGTCTATATAATCAGTCTCTGCAGTTTCATCATCATCATCTCTAGACAAAGTGAGGTTGATGAAAAGAGCTTCAGCATAGAGACTCATTGGGGGAAAGCATCATTAAGACACTTTTCAAATTAAAGGTATGGCTGTAAAATCTTGTCATACTAGGTAGTTACCTTTCAACATACTTTGTCTCCACTGTGTTTCATGATGATTAGAAGAGGCCAACTGAAAGTGGACTGTTTTAAATTTCCAATGGGATTTGAATAGTGCAAGCGCATTATGGCTGAATGCAGGACCCAAGAAAGTAAATGGAATCCTTATGAGTTTAAAAGAATATTCTCATGAGTGCTCTTGTCTGCCTACCTCAAACCAACATATCACCCTGACACACCTGCAGACTTTGGTCAGAGGACTGAAAGAAATCTTGTTAACAAAGCAGTTCATTAGCACTTTAACCAATAGCAATTATTATGCAGCAAAGATGCATAACAGGAGGCTAGAACTTAATTATAATTAGCGTAGAAAGAGAAAGCCAGAGGAAGAGATGTGCCTTTTAGAAAACACATTCAACATAGCATCTTCTCTTTTGCCCTGCAAGGTTCAAGTGGAACTTGAGAGGCATCTATTGCCAGCTAATAAAGCTCTGAGAATTGTTAAAAGCTTAAGCACCTAGTAGAGGTTACGTGCTACAAAGGATGTTGGAGTACATTTAACTTCTCCTTCTAAATCCACCCACGTATCAAAACTCCAGGTAGCTCTGGATTAAGAGGCAGGGGTGTGAGAACATCACTTGGCTAATGTTTCTCTGATGCACCAGCAGGTGGCATCATGCGTCCAATTCTTGATGGCTTGTGTCAGCCTGTTGGTGACTGATTGCTGCCCTGGGCGCTCTGCCTTTTTCTTCGTTTCCACCCTCCCCTGTGCTTGCAGATGGCTTAATCATGACTACTGTTCCCTCCTCCTCCCCCTCCTTCTCCCCATCCCCCTTAGTACTTCTGGGATAATGCTGCTAACGTTCAGCCAGCCAGTCAAGTGTTACAGCACAGAGCAGGTAGCCTGGCAACTGAGAGTATAATACCGAACAGATGGTGTTCATACAGCATGATGGACATCACACACAGCAGCCTGAGACAATCCAGGAATTCTCTGGTGGTTTGAGGCCTCTTTACACAAAAAATGAGCTTGCCAGCAGCTTTGAGGATAATTTCCACCCTCTCCCTCCAATCTGACATTGAACCACTGAAATGATTTCTTATTATTTCTGTTTTGCTAACTGCACTAAAGGGACAGCAGTCTGGTGGCAGGTGAGATGACAGATGGAGGGCGAAACTCAGGGTATTGTGAATTAATAAAACCTTATGTTAGGCATAGGCAGGGAAAGGTCGTTCAAAACCACAGACTTGGGAATGTTTGTGTGAGGATGCTCTTCTGGTGGCAGCTGGGCAAAATTGTACAATGAATCACCTTCTTCCTGGGCTGCACTCCGCTCATTCATTCCCACATGATTATAGCAGAGGTGCTTACAGCATAAAATCACTGAATGTTTTGGTGACTGAAGGGCTAGCTCTGAATGCTTCCACTTCTCACCCTCTCTTTTCCTCCTAAACAAAGAAACAACTCTTCTGCCACTGTTGAGAGCTGCAGGCGCACCGCAGCAGCAACATTACACTGCCTCCGCTTCCAAATCCAATGCAATGCTAAGGGGACTCCTGACACTTCTTCCAGAGAGCACGCTGCTCTTTACTAATGAGCTCAGGAAGCTAAGACATACCCAGGCTGTCACATTTCTAACCCTGAACAATGCATAATCTGTATCTGTGATGGGGCTGGGGGGAAGGAGCAGAGAAGCTCACGAAGAGACTTTTTTTCTGGAGGAGAGAGATGGAGGTAAGGAAAAGGAAGGGGCTACAAAGGCTATTACAATAGGTTTCTTACAAAAGCAAAAGCATTCATATTCTCAGACATGCAAACCTATACTCCAGAAAGATGAGTTGAATAAACAGTTGAATTATTTAACCTTTCTGTGTGCTCTCATCTTCCCTTTCCCCCAGTTTTATTCCCCAGGGCTGCCTCCTCCACCTCTTCCCCCTTGAGCAATGATTTATGGGTGAGGAAATGGGATTTTCAGTGCTAAAGTCAGAGATGGCCGTCAGACATTACCTTGCTCCCACTGCAAGAAAAACCCTGGGCAAGGTTCCAGAGTTCCTGCAAGGCAAGCCTGGGGAATCAGAAAAAATGATATGTAGCAGTACAGTCCATTATTGCTTGTCTTTTTTTTTTTTTTTTAAAGAGCTTTCTTCTGTGAAGAACTCTTACATTCAATAGTCCGCTTGTGTATGGGATAATTCAGGAGTGGTATCTAGATCACACGACTTTTAAATCAGGAGTCATTAGGGACCCTTTTAGATGTGTCTCTCTATTGTCTTTGTGATCCAGTACACAGCACTGGGCTTTAGAAGTTTGAATTCAGATATCTTTTTAGTCATAGCAGCACTTGGTAAATGCCCATGCTATACCTGGACAAATGCTCATGTTCTAGATTAGTGTTGTCCAAACTTGGCCACTTTAAGATGAGTGGACTTCAACTCCCAGAATCCCCCAGCCAGCATGGGGCTGCATGGCTGGCTGGGGGATTC